AGACTCGGCACCTTAATTTATGCTTCCATCTCTTGGTTGGTGGGTTTTGTGCCTATAAAAAAATTAATACCCTAACTAAAATAATGAGCCTTCAAATAACTATTTGAACTAATTTTTATTCATCGATTTGAATCTTTCTTAAAAAATATTGCAACCAATCGAATTCTTACATCTAGATGATTGCTTATTCATAGGTTGAGTTCAAGATTAGCGGCTATGGTCTTAGGAAGCAGTTGGCTGGCTTTCACGTTTCGAGCTTTTGTTTGTCCATTATAGATTGTGGATTTGGGTTGGGAACATTCAATAAAATCCTTATTCTATTGCCTGAAGACAAGGAAGGGCCCGAATTGCTTGCACTGCATGCTACTACAATATCTCGTTTCGCTGCATGCAATGCCCCGATTGCGATTCCATCTTCTTTGTACTGCCTACTAGTCGATGAACCCATTGAAACACTGATTACTCGAACACCATCCTTGATGGCATCATCAAAGGCAGCAAGAATGTCATCATTGAGACATGCGTTGCCTTCTGCTAGGCTGTAACTCGAAATTGGCCAACATACTTTGTACATGGCCAGGCGCACAAGTGGAGCGCCCCTAGTGGCGGTTCCACTAGCAAATCCTCCTAGTGCATAAACATTACTAACTCTTCGGCCTCCAATGGTCGATGATGTGTGAGTTCCATGACTACTTTTGTCCCTTGGTGATCGGAAATCCAAACTTGTGTTGAGGCGACCAAAATAGGTCTCGTAACCCTTCAAGTAGTAGCGAGCTCCGATTATCTTTCTACAAGAATGCCAAACAATTAATCTTTTTTTTTGACATAATATACAGTTAATATTATAAACATAAATAGTCACAATATGTGTGAAGAATTCACCTATTACAATTAGAAGAATTAAAATCAACACCATTCTGGCACTCCCCTTTGCATGACTTGGGAATAGGTTCCATTCCATGATCATTGAAATGTTGACCTATGATTGATCATGATCTTAATGTTTTGATTATGACAAACAAGTCCATCTTGTTTACTAACAAATTGAAGTGAGTGTTTAAGCCTTCAAAGTTATAAAGATTATTATTCACATTCAAATGAAGT